TCCGGCCTGCCTCCCCGGGCGCGTGTATGTGTGTGTGTGTTTGCAGCTGATCAGATGTCTGTTTCAAGGCGGGAAACAGCTGGTGAAAACTCAGCACTCCCCCGGCCTCCTTCCGCGGAGTAAGGAATTGCATGTAAACAAAGGACTATTTGCAGCGCCCCCCCGGGTGACGCGAGGCCGTGACGAGAGGGGCTTGGGCCCCAGTGGGCGAAGGGCGGCCGGGGTTTGCGGGCCTCCCCCGGGGCTCAGCGAGCTGGGGGCCGTGGGCTGACTTGGAGGGCGCGGCGTGAATGGAGCGAGCTGCGGCTGAGCTACATGCGCCACTATGGGTGATGAGGTCCATCAGCTGACAGGTTGGCAAGCGTTAGGAAGAAGAGAAAAAAAAAAGCCAGCCACCGCGGGGGAGCCCAGCCCATGCGGCCGGGGTCCGGCGGGGCTGCCCAGTGCAGGGTCTGCGCGCTGAGGCCCGCGGGGGCCGGGGGCGCGCAGCTGGGCCCGGTGAAGCCAGCCTGGGGTGCTGCTCGGGGCTTTTCCTTTTTAACGATTGTAACTGCACAGAGTGGAGCCGCTCTGGCGCGCTCCCTCCGAGCTCAGGGCCCCCTGGAAACTTGCGTCACAGCCACCGCTTCCCACATGGAACTTGGGGCCGACTTCGAAGGCCCGCCAGCCTACTGCCTCCCACCCTCCCTCCATGCCCAGCTGCCCGCCACTGATCGCCCAACCCCGGCTCGAAAGCCTGGGAATCCGGAGCCGGGGAGAGGAATGCAAAGGGGGCGCGCCGGGCGCCTCGGATCCTGGGGCTGCCCTAGGAAGCAGGGGCCCTGGCGGGGAGGGAAACGTGGAGGGAGGCCAAGACGGCAGCGGCCCGGGGGCAGGCTGCCAGCGCGGCTGGGAGGTCTGGTGGCTGCTGCCCGGTCCCGTCCTAACCTTCGACATACACACTTTCCCCCTCTGCGAGGAGGCAGGACGGCGGGAGTCTTGGCCCGGGCTGGCAGAAAGCTGCAGCTTCTTATTCATGGCGAAGCCAGTGCAAGACTTGCTCCTCCACCAGGGTGCGCTTTCAAGGAGGGGTGATGCCTGGGGCGAGGGAGGGAGGGAGGGAGGGACACTGGCTAACAACCAACTTCCGTCCCCCACCAGGTCCCCACCTTCCTTCCCCAGGCCCTCCCCACCTCCTGGAGGGTTGGCCCCTGGCTCAGGAAGACCACGCCTGCCTTGGAATATCCTGCCTCCTGCCTACCACCTTTCTCAATCCCATTCACCTTCAAGGTTCTGCCCACATTGCACATCCTAATTGAAATACTCCTACTAATAACAAGGATTAGTTATTAGGAAATATTGTTATTAGATTGTGAGAGCACCTTGTAGATCTTGAGCAGTTTTGCATGCATATTTTCCAGTCCCTAAAGCAACCTTTTGGGCAGTTTCTCTAAGGGCAGAGACCAAGCCACTTAACATCACAGTCCCTGGAAGGCCTCAATTGTGGGGACAGGGAATGTGCTCGGGAAACGATGACACCTGGGGGACAACAGGATACAGAGCCCCATAACTATACACCTAACAACATGTACAGTGCCTAGATGAATGAATGAATGAATGAATGAATGAATGAATGAATGAATGAATGAATGACAGCTGGGAAAATTTATCTACACCCTTGCTCTTTCTTTTGCTAGGGAACTGCCTTGACCCAGCCTGGTCCCCATAAGCCCTGTCACTAAGACTGGCCTCTCCATTTCTGCCAAAGGCACCTTCTCACAGAGAGCCCTCAGCTCTCTCAGATGCACAAACCCAAAGTCCTTTGAGCTGGATCAACAATTTCTGCCCTAAGACCTAAAATACCATCACTGCCCCCAGTCCTACACTCCAACAGTCTCCCATCACTATAGCAGTAGCACAGTAAATCCTCCAAAATCCAGGCCGTCCCCCATTCCCAGGAGGTTCTGTACATCCCTTAATCTGACCCCATTCCCCTCCCCTCCCCAGCTCCTAAACTCAAGTTAACTGTGCCTTCTGGAGCCCTCAGGTGTTCAGCAAAATCCCTTAGATCCTTGACACCTGACTCTACCGGTCACATTCTTGCTCTAAATTAGGAGTCAGCAAACTGCATGTAAAAGTTATATGTACTAGTTTCCTATTGCTACTGTAACAAATTACTATAAATTTAGCTTAAAACAACTCAAATTTATTCTCCAGGTCAGAAGCCCAAATGGGTCATATTTGGCTAAAATCAAGGTGTCAGAAGGGCCTGTGTTCCTTCTGAAAGCTCTATAGGGAAAAATATTTCCTTGCCTTTTCCACATTCTGGGAAGCGGCCCGCATTTCTTGGCTCATGGCCCCTTCCTCCATCTTCAAAGTGTCATTCCAACTCCTGCTTCTGTCATCACATCTTCTCTGACTCTTCTGCCTCCCTTCTATGATACCTTGGACCTACCCGGATAATCCAGAATAATTTCCAAATCTCAAGATCCTTAAGTCATATTCAAAGTTCTCTTTGTAAGGTAACATTCACAGGTACTGGGATTAGGATATAAATATCTTGGGGGGAGCATTATTCTGTCTACAACACCACTCTTAGTTTGTGAGCCCTACAAAACAACGCAGAGTTTACAATATGCCAAAGTAATTTCAGTCCTAAATATATATCCAAAGAATGAAAACAGTGACTCAAACATATCATTGTATAGCGGTGTTCACAGCAGCATTATTCACAATAGCCAAAAGGTGCCAACCACCCACCATTCATCAACTGGTGAGCAGATAAACAAAATGTGGCCTAGCCATACAATGGAATATTATTCAGTCTTAAAAAGGAATGAAGTTCTGGTACATACTACAATATGGATGAACCTTGAAAACATAATGCTAAGTGAAAAAAGCCAGATACAGAAGATCACATATTGTATGATTCCACTCATGTGAAATATCTAGAATAGGCAAATTCATTGCAACAGAAAATAGACTGAAAGTTACCGAGGGTTGGGGGGGATGGGTGAATGGGAAGTTATTGCTTAATGAGTATGGAGTTTCTGTTTGGGGTGATGAAAAATTTTGGAAATAGTGGTGATGATTGCACAACGTTGTGAATGTAATTAATGGCACTGAATTGTACACTTTAAAATGGTTAAAATGGCCTGGCCTGGCGTGGCTCAGCGGTTGAGCATCATCCTAGAATCCAGAAGATCGAGGTTTGATTCCCGGTCAGGGCACATGCCCGGGCGGTGGGCTCGATCCCCAGTCGGGGGCGTGCAGGTGGCAGCCGATCAATGACTCTCTCATCATTGATGTTTCTATCTCTCTATCCCTCTCCTTTCCTCTCTATTAAATCAATAAAGATATATTTTTTAAAAAAACAATAAAAAAAAACCCAGCATATCCTTGGGTGAGTATTAAAAAAAAAAAGTTAAACAAAAAAAGGTCAGTAGGCTGGCTTTATCAATTTTCCCCCCTTAACCTCTCACTTCCCTCCTCATCTGGCTTAGAATTCACAGCCCATCAATATAATCATCTTGCCCGGCCGCGAGTGGCTCAGCGGTGGAGCGTCGACCTAGGATCCAGGCGATCAGGGTTCTATTCCTGGTCAGGGCACATGCCTGGNGGGAGCGTCGACCTAGGATCCAGGCGATCAGGGTTCTATTCCTGGTCAGGGCACATGCCTGGGTTGCAGGCTCGATCAATGACTTTCTCATTGATGTTTCTATCTCTCTCTTTCTCCTTTCCTTTCTCTGAAATCAATAAAGATATATTTAAATATATATA